GGACCAAAGGACATCACAGTCACTGTACGCCTACCACACCAACAGTGCAGAGCTGTTATATTTCTGTGCTACAAATACTGTAAATAACTGTGCACTGAGATATGAGCTACTGTAAATGACAGGTTAGTATTCTCCTAAAAGGTGTGAATTAAAAAGTCTGTTTTCTTAAGTGAAAATGATCAATGCAACAATGAAAACAAGATTAATTATGAGTTTAAGTGTATTCAAAGTGCAGACAGATGATCAGCATGGTGTTCGCTCGCTCTGCTGTACAGTATCACTTCCTGTTCCAACACACGGCGGTGTTTTTGTGTAGCTTATCTGTGTTTCATAAAAAAGTTATAGATAACTTCTTACTTCATAGAGTCGTCTTCACGTGCTTCATCCAAAGCACGCTCTCTGAGTACGGAGGAAACCTGGTCTTGTTAGGAGAGACGGCATCCATCCCACTTTGGATGGAGCAGCTCTCATTTCTAGAAATATGGACAAATTTATTAAACCCCTCAAAATATGACTATCCAGAGTTGGGACCAGGAAGCAGAGTTGCAGTCTTACACGCCTCTCTGCAGCTTCTCTCCTCCTGCTACCCCTCAAAACCCATCTCCATAGAGACTGTGTCAGCTCCCAAACAGACAAAAACAAACTAAAAACCAGCAACAAACAACTTAAACATAAAAAAGAAAGAACAATACAGTATCCACATCTGAACCAAAGAGTAAAACAGTGAAATGGGGATTATTAAACATCAGATTGGCATGGTGCTGTGGGGGCCGCGCTGTCTTCAGGTCCCCAACTGATACCTCAGTGTCGCCGGCCACTTTCTGGGCCTCTTGCCGGACATCATCGCCGTCGTGGGCGGCCTCCGAATCAGCACTGTCGTCTCTTTTACCTGCATCGCCGCCGTTGCTATCCGCACGGCCGGCCCCCTGAACTGTTTTTGGCCCCTTACTGTCTACCCTTGGGTCGACCCCCGAACTTTTTCGTGGACTCGTGGTTTGGGCCAATCTAGTTTAGTTTTGTATATCTGGGCTTGTGCTCCTGGTGTTTTGTTTCTAATCGATTTAATTCAATTTCAGCTTCAGTCTATTTGTTTCAATAGCACTAAATCACAATAACAGCTGCCTTGCAGCGCTCTCTCTATACACAGGATGAAGTAAAAAAAACTGTGATGACCTGAATGATAAGATCAGCGAACTCTGCAGCTCTATGAAAATACCCCAGCACCATCCTTCTGTCTGGGTTTGCATCTATCATGTTTGGCTTATTTATAAAACTGCTCGTAGGTATTAATGTGAGTGTGAACGGTTGTCTGTGGTAGATTGGCGACCTGTGGTAGCTCCACCCCCCCGTGACCCTGATAAGGATAAGCAGGAGAGGATGGACAAAGCTTTTAATTATTTCAGGGCAGCTGTGGCTACAACTGTAGCTGCCTCCACCAGTGTGTGAATGTGAGAGTGAATGAATAGTGGAATTGTAAAGTGCTTTGAGTGTCTTGAAAAGTGTTATTCCTATGTATAATGTACACACTAAATATACATATACATACATATATTCCATACACATTATGCATGAAGTGGTGACCGTGGATGTTCACAGTGTG